GAAAATGACATGTTGCGGTTTTACAGGAGGCTATGTGTTGGACTGTACTTTGATTGGGAGCATTTTATGCTAAGCTAAACTAACCCGTTGATGAAAGTAGCCTCCTATTCGAGGGGAGACATAAGAGTGGTATCAATCTTCTCATCTAACTCTTGGCAAGAAAAGGAACAAGTAAAGTCCCCAAAATGTTGAACTAGTTTTTTGATGTATGATTTGTATGATTTGATTCATGTAAATGCCTCTTTATGTATCCAGGCAATCCATCTTACCAAAGTGTCAGCCTGGTTACTGTCTGTCTGTCTGTCCAACACCTGTATAGCGAGTTAGACTATTCCTCTTTCGGTTGAATATTTCTAACTTGTGGCTCTGCATAGAAACTGGTCTGAAAGGAAACTGTTATGTAAGAGGACATTGGCCAACAGCTGCATTTGTTTTAACTGTTGGGACTGCACTATGGGAAAAAATGTTTCTGCGGGAGATAGGTTGACCACTAATCTTACCATAGACTAGACGTGTGTGTGTTTCTGTTCAGAGATGACAGACTTTGTGCCAAATTGTGAACGATATTACTGTGATTCAATGTGTGATTTTTTTTATTTTATTTTATTTTTTCTGAGTTAACTATTTCTACTGGGTGGTGGTCATACTATATGGAAAGTAAAAAGGAAAAGAAATGTAACCCAATTGCTTCTTGGCAAAATCAAAGTCCATGTTATGTTATAAATATATTTATTTTTATTGTGAAATGTGGAATCTGCAAAGAAAAGTCAGCTTTTTTTAGGCAAACTAGTTTACAACACATTGTTCTTTTCACGAGTGACATAAGCGACAGAATTAGTTAAAAAATGTCAGGAGTGACATTAGCATGGAATTAGTATCATTTTAAAATGTTAAATGATCATATAGCTTAATAACTATCAGATATTTATTCCATGTTGTAAGGAATGGCTGTTGATTTAAAAAAAAGTATCTTGCTGTCCTTAAAATGTGTGATTGCACAAATGTGTGTGTACTAAACCAATTGAGTTCTGATTCTAAAATAAAAGCTTTTTCTACTTTCTAGCCTCAAACATGTTGGATTGACTGCTTTCACTGTTACAGCTGCTGTAATGATTTAGGGCCCGTCCTATACAAGCTTATAACCACTGGTAGAGGTAAGATACTCAGATTCTTTACTTAAAGTACCAAAAAGTCCTGCATTCAGAATTCTACAAAGTAGTATCAGCAGAATGAACCCTAAATGTATAAAGTAAAAGTACTCATTATGCAGAAAAATATGGCTTATTATATATGACTGGAAAGATTGGGCTCACCCTTGTGGCAATTCAAAATCAATCAGGAAATCAATATAGGACTGTGCATTAGCGAGCTAGACAGCTTTTTCAAGTCACAATTATTATTTTAAAAAGTGTTTTATTGCGATACATTCGATATCATATCATCCCATCCATTGTTGTGAGATAATTAAGGTTGGAAAAAAGAATAAGTACGCATTTATTATAAAAAGCTCTGCTCTGTGCTTCATTGCGAAATATTGTATAATTGTACCTCTCTGAAACCATCTGAGATACCTAGAACAGAAAAAACTGAACTCATAGGAGCCAAGAGCCACAGAAATGTGGAACTGGACACTGCTGTTTCTCTAAGGGGCCACAAGCTAAAAAAAACCCCACTGGTTTAATGTTTCACAATGCCTTTTGTTTCATAGGCTGATTTTTATGTCGAAAGCCTTTCTCTGAAACTAGAAGCACATGAAGCCTGCAGCATGTTATCACTGTATGTCCCACACAGTAAATGCCCATACATCCCTTTAAAGCAGTGCAGTGACTTCCTCACAGTGGCATCATATTCTTGGCCTCCTCCTCATAAATGTTTGGTATCTGTCCCATGGAGGAGGGAACCATTCGGACAGAGTTGCACCCCTGAAGCTCCATCTCATAGCGGATGAGCTGCTTCCAGAAGCCGTTATTGGGCCTCACCATGGGTCTACAGGTCTTCACCCACCTGTGGGCCTCCAGCAGAGTCACACCGCGGTGCTTCAGCAGGTAGGCCATGCACAGGGCGGCGGAGCGGCTCACCCCGGCGTTGCAGTGCACCAGCGTGCGGCCACCGCGCTCCGCCGTGAGCTGGACTTTATCTGCAACCTGGTCGAAGTGATCCCGGAGAGGAGACACCGGGGAGTCAGAGACGGGGATGTGGATGTACTCCTCCACCCCGGGGGGAGGAGGGCAGCTGCTTTTGGTCTCAGTAACGTTCACGATGCAGGTTATCTGGCACCGGGTCACCTGGGAGGGATCATTGGCCGCTCTGCCGTTACTCAGGTAGAGATGGTCGGTGACTCGGCACAGGCCTGAGAGCCCTGCAGGACCCGACTGATGCATAAACCTAAATATATTGCTGCAGCACAGCTGTCTAACCGAAAACTGTAACTGTAAAGTGTAAGTTGTCCGGTTGAGCCACCGCGGGACTTGCTAGTGTCTGTTGTAAGGCAACCCAGGAAGGTCAAATTTGTGCGTGCGAGCGCGCACGCTGTCGCCCCCAGCTGGATGGGGTTTTCATAAGGCAGACATATTGGATCGATAATAGCATTTTTCTGTTCATTTTTTTTTAAATTTAGAAGCAAAACAAACAAACAAACAAAAAACACATTTAATGTTTAGGGTAAAGAGTTTTTCTAATGCTGTAATTTTTGCTTAATATCTAAATGAAAAGGAAGGACAAACATGCAGATATTTCCTGCTTCAGAAAAAAAGGCAGGATAGAAAGAGGATGACAAACTCACACAGGGAAAAGATGAGGAAATGGGTGGAGTAGAAAAGGGTAAAATTAAGATCCAAACAAGAAAATGAGACAGAAACTGATAGAGGTTGGAGATGAAGACAGGGACACATAATGGTGTAGTGGTGCCTGGAGAAGTGGATACACTCTTAATATAAGCCCCCCTCAATTGTTTTAAGCTGCCTGTCCAGCAAAGGATAAACACCCTGTGATATAAACAGTAACATGTAAGATGTTTATCTTGTCCTTTACCCACAGAAGTAGTGTTTACTTTTATTTGTGGATAATATTTATGTGGATGTGCAGAGACTGCAGACACCATTTTGGTGGAATCGTCTGTATCTTGTTTCTTTATTATTATGTTCAACATATGATAATATTATTGTACTATTTACTCTGGGAGTCCCGTCCCTACAAAAAATATCAGTTTGTCACTATAGTGGCCCCTTCCTCTAGCACCACCTTCAGGCCCAAAAGTGTGCCACCCAAATCTCTGAACAATGTGAGACTCATCAGAAAATAAACCCCTTTGATAAGCCTCAGGCCAAAATGTTTCTCCCAACAAGTGGAAAAGATCTAAAATAAGAATGTCATCCATTTTAGTTTTCACATGAGCATTACAGCCTCATTAAATACTGTGTGATGCATATTCCATGTCTTTTAAACTCCTAAGCAATTTTTGTCCCCCATTAGTAAGTAACATATTTATTATTATCATTATTTTGATATTTAGATGTTTTACATTTTAAAACACTACGAAAAACAACGTTACAGAGTTCTTCACATAAAACATGAAACCACAATTACATAAATATCACAGGAATAACAATAAAAGAGTCACAATGAAAAAATGAATTTAAGCCTATTGATTACAACATCAAAGATCAGACTTGAAATCTGAAAATGAAATAATTCAAGTTTAAAATAAGCTGTTTGTCACTGCTATTAATGTAAAGCAGCATCTTATCACAGCAGAGCTGCATATTGACTCATTCTACTCTTGAGCTATTAAAATAAATGAGAAGCAGAAAAAGAGAATAAGTGTCTTTATGCTTGTGAACGTGGAGAAATCAGATAATAATGAACATTCATACCAACCACTGGTTATGTTCCAGTGTGTCCCTTTAAGTCATATTATAGCAGAATACTGTAGTGTGTGTGTGGTTTGAAGTGGTTGCTGTGTGTTAGCTGGTGGCGCCTGCAGGCAGTCCTCGGTTGCCCAGGAAACACAGATGGTGGATGAAGGGCGCGCATACAAAAGACCATAAACCTGTGGCAGCAGCTGGAGACCGAGACCCCTGATTAATTCAGGTCTGTGCAGTCCGGCTTAGTCAAAGACGTCGCTGTTCTCTTTAATACCTCCCATCCATTTCCTTTGTCCCGGGGCTTCCGTCTCCACTTTATCCTGTTTTTCCCCCGGACAGGACTCTCGTCAGTGCGCAGCTGTTGTTGGCACTCCCACATCTGCTTGTCTCAGCTCGGCAGCCATGTAGACGAAGCTCCGCCGCGGTTCGTGTTAGTGCGTAGCGTTAGGTCCAGGGGGGAACTAGCCTTTTACTGCAGGCAGAAAAAAACCCCCACTGCACACACACACGGTGTGTATTTGCAGCTTGCCCTCAGCATGGGGAAAAATAAGGAAAAGAAGAAGAGGAAGAAGAGGAAGATGTGATCCTTTCGCACCGTTTGATGCTGCGGGACAGGTGCATCTGCATGTGGAACCTGGAGATCACTGGTAGGAACAAAAGACACTAAAATTCATATTCTTCTTTTACATTCAACCTTTTATTTCTCCGAACAAACCGGTTAAATTGTTTTGGATTAGATGTTTTAGATTACACGTACATTGACTGCAGAGGAGGGCCTAGTCTCTTGCCTCAATCTGACATCCTTGCAGGATTTATGAATATTAAAATATGCTTATCTGTAGAAAAGCTGTTTCTGGTGGACACATGCCAGATTAGAATCTTAATCTTGCTATATATTATATACAGTAAAGCCTGCATGGTTTTTAATCTCCAGATAGACAGTATCCAGTACCCTATAACATGAGCTGCAGCCGCTGTACCATATGTTTTCACTGCTTGGCCAGAAATATCAAACAAATTTAACTCAAGCCTTAGCTATGGTCTTAAGTTCTGTATGTATTTATTTAAGTTTTAGGTAAAGCGGGCCATTAAACACAAAAACATAGTAAATCTGTAACATCAACTACATTTATGATCAGCTGTAAAAGAGCTTTATTCAGTATGCTTTTATTTTGTAGGTAACCCAGTGCTGCATGGACTTTGCACTGGATTCATCTGCAGAGCTGCTGTCAAGTCACCAGTGAGAACACTGGGAGGATCCAAACGGGAACCAGCAGCAGGACAGGTTATGTGCACAGGCCGGATTACCTTTATTAAAATCATAAGGGAGGTTCATTTTTCACTGGCACACAATGCCAGATGGAGAATTTATTTGAATACAGATAACTGATGACTCCCATCTCCAGTGACGTATATCTTTAACAGTGGGTGTATTTCAGCCTCATTTGTGTCTAAATAAAAAGCAGTAAGGAGAAACAAGTAATCCCTGAGGGTGTCTTGGGTGGACAGTTGGGTCGCGTCCCACTTTTCTGCTGCTTTGTGTTGTGTGTTCCTCTCCAGTTACACTGATGGAAAAGCAGATCGAGGCTCGCACCGGACGCTACCAGCGGCATCTCCCCATCAACTCTCTACCGTGCTGCCTCACAGACTGGTACAGGATCAGTAGATTTACACCACAGTGACTTTTATTTCCCTCGTATTCACTTTACACACCACACTGTGACATGTTATAGAGGTCCACACAAATATAAACTGCAGAGCCAATTTCCCTATCTTGCTTTTGCCCACATGCAGGATGTGTCCCTGTGTATGTGTGCTAAGCCCCTGTGCTGGCTGAAAGTGCAGATAAATAGGGAACAGATAGAACATGGGAGATTAGTTATGTGTTAAATCGCTGCCATATTTTCCTCTGTATGCTATCCTTTCCAGGATTATGGTTAAGAGAGGAGATAAACCAACCTGAAAGTGGAGACCATGACCAAATCAGATTAGCATAATCAGCTTTTCACATTCATTATTCAACATTAGGCGGGATTATCCTGGAAAAAAAATGTTTGTTAGACCAAGACAAAAATATGTCTTTTAAAAACATGTAAAAGAGGCCAGGAACAGGAATGTGTTCACTGTGATACTGTAATAACTGTCATCATTTCTCCTGCAGTGATGGATGCACCGTGCCATTACTGCTGTCCCGTACCTTCAGACGGAGACGACCCATGTTCAAGTGTTTCCCCAATGAGAGACGACTTCTGCTGCTTTTGTGCATCTGTATAAATGGCTTTGAATAGTTAAAAATACAGCCACAGCTTTGCAGTCAGTGTCAGGTGATCAGATTTAACAGGAAGCTTATTTCAGCTTTTTGTGTCCAAAATAATTTACTGCAGTGTTCTTTCCTGTCTCCCTAAAATGTGTGTATTCTCCTGGCTGTGAGTAATACTAATACAGCTTCATCCACCCACGCTCTCATATTTTTTGGCTGATTAAGAACACTGACACTGCAGCCATCGAACACCTCTCAAGCCTGTTTATTTCAGCTGCTTTGTGCAGTGCCCTCCTCTCTCTGTTACCTTGGTTACTCTGTTTAACACTTTGGTCACCCGTTTTAAATTCACAAGAAGTGATGTTTCTGTAACGAGGCTGTCCTGTGTGTTAACTTCTCACCAAAGCTTGCACGTATCTATGCCAGATCCAGAACTGGAAAGCTCTGATATTTTAATCCTGCAGTGTTAAAAGAAATCTGCTTAAGAGAGTGAGAATGACTAGTTTTCTCACATTTAGACAATGTGTAATTCACACAGTATGTTCTTTGTTTGTCTTGAAACCTCGTCATTTGGATGTGTTACCAATTATTCTTTTAATGTAGTGTACTGTGTGTTTTAGCTGTAGCGGGTGGGCGCGTGTGTGTCTGCGTGAGTGCATGTGTTTGTGTGCATGTGCTCTATTTGTGTGCGTGTTTGTTCCTATATGTGTGCATGTGTATCATGTCTGTCTGATCAAACAGACATTTGTAATGGTCGTGAAGCTACAAGCTGCTTTTCAGTGATTTTCTTACAACTGCAAAGTTTAAAAAATGCCTGAAGCTCATCTTTTAGCCACTGGACGTACCAGAGAACGGATAAAAAAATATTTACAAATGATTCTTAGCATTTGTTTCAACCTCACTGAAGTACCAGTTAGGTGGGGATTCTTGTGATTTAGATAATCACAAGAATGTCGCTGTAAATTAATGGTGTGTAGTTTTCTAAATGATGCCTGCTGGCATTAATTAAACTGTCATGTTGCCTACAGCCCCACCATCTGATACTTAAGCAAATTACAGCAAATGCTAATAATTATGTGCAAATAGCTTTTTACCCAGGTCTGGATTCTACTAACAGTATCTCACTAATATCTAACAATACTAATGTCTGCTAACAGTCGGATGATTACTAACCTGTACTCTGAATGCTGATGGCTGGCCTTGTTCTTTCTAACCCACTGACTAACCCTCTGCTTTATGCCCGCAGTCCGATGCACACACTCCTCTCTCATGATCCTGCAATCCTTCTTCTAGAAAAGACCAACTTTGGATTTAATTATTAAAGAAGAAAATCAATGAAAATGGTTAAAGTGAGCAAGTCAAGAAGGGTTTCAGGACTTGGGGAGGAAAATGTTTATTAACCACTAGATGAAAAGAGGAGCAGAAACAGCTGCTGATACCAAACTGGGTTGACCACATACTTTGGAAGAATCCTCACAAAACCGATTATGATCTGGTTCCAAATGAT